TCGACATTTTTTAATGTTTTAACAAAATCTTCTGTACCCGCAGAGAACTTTCCATTCTGCACCATTGATCCTCATGAAAGTATGAATAGATATTTCAGCCTTTTTGTGAACAATGCCGTACATGTTTTCTGTTTCTTTTAGATCGTGTTCCTGTTCCGGATGCTCGCTTTGAATTTTTAACAGAATTCTATCAACCACTAAGGTATTGTACTGTACTGTTTTCGTACATTTTCATAATTTTGATAATTCGCACATTCGCTAAAGGAGAGAGCACTTATTTAATAAATATCATAAATTTTCTTCATATTTTTTCCTTAGTAAAGTACCGGCATTTTTGAATGTTGTTGACATAGCTGGTCTAGTTAAAGGAGCTTCAGAAGGACAAGGTAATTAAAATTCAATTTCATTTTAACGGAAGCCAATCAGATGTATTTTTCTTAACTTAGGTTTGGGAAATGCATTTTTATCGCATATAAAAGCCTGTGATGGAATATTTCATATGATTCGTAAGTTTAGTGCTCACACTCGCTGGTTTATGCGCTTTGAACAATAAATTTTTTGTCTTTGCTCAAGGTTTGTTCGATGAAGTCGATATTGCACATGTAGAAGGAAGTGTTGATCCAATTAGAGATATTGAAATTATAATGGATGAATTAAGGTAAAAATATTGAACAATATTCATTATAATTTTTGTTGTAAATAAATTTTTTCTAGACTCAAAGATATCGAGATGGCAAATAAGATTCATGATGACTTGGAAAAAAAAGCTATACGTGGGGGTGATAAAACTTTGAAACCAGAATTGGTATAGTAACGAAATTTAATAGAAACGATACAACTTATATTTTTTCCTTTGAAGGAAACTGTTGCAAAAGTACTACATACATTAATAGAAGAAAAACGAAGTGTACGTTTTAATGACTGGAACGAAAAAGAGGTACGATTGTTATTTATTTTTTATTTTAAAAATTCAACATACTATTAATATCTTGTTTGTATTATCAAACGTAGATTGATACTCTCAATAAACATCTATTTAATACATCGAAACCAATGGTTTATCTATTAAACATGTCCGAAGAAGATTATATCAAGAAAAAAAATAAATGGTATATAAAATCTTTAACTCAATAATTCATCACTATCATTTACATATTTGTATTTAGGCTATCAAAAGTGAAACAATGGATTGACGAAAATGATCCTGGAGCGACAGGTAAGCATACTAATTTGTTATTATTGTCAAAGTATATATTTCTTCTTTGTTTAGTTATACCGTTAAGTGCAAATTATGAATATAGATTAGTTGATTTGTCACCTGAAGAAAAAGAGAAACTAGTTAAAGAAACTGGTGCAACTAGGTATGAATAAAGATTTTTTCATTGTCGCTCTCTACGTTTGTCTTTCAATCAAAACAAATTTACTATTTAAACGTTGTTGTTTTAGTGGATTAGAGAAGATAATAGTTGCCGGCTATCGTGCATTGCAATTATGTTATTTTTTCACGTGTGGTAAAGATGAGGTGAAAGCATGGACTATACAGGTAAGTTCAACAGGAGTGAACAATTTTTATTTATTCTCAGCAAACCATAGTTCCATGTCACAGATCCTTTAAAGTACAAATATCGTATTTTGGATAATGTTTTCAAAATCATGTAAGGATTTTTCCTAAACAACCCTAGTGTTTCTACTTTCCTCCTGCAATTGTTGAATGTAGTTTTACAAAATTTCTTTAAAAACAAAAATTATGAACAGAAGAGTTTCAGCCGTTCACAGATCTGTACTGGAATATCGGTAGGATGTGTAAATCTAATTATCTATTTTTTTGCAGGTGGGCACACCCGCACCTAAAGCGGCAGGTAGAATTCATGGTGATTTTGAAAAAGGTTTTATAATGGCTGAAGTAATGAAGTATGAAGATTTTAAAGAACATGGAAATGAAAATGCTGTAAAAGTATGTGTAAAAAAAACGTAGGATGTTACTCATTTTGGTAGTAATTCCGATTTTCTAGGCTGTAGGTAAATATCGTCAACAAGGTAAACAATACATTGTGGAAGATGGAGATATCATTTATTTTAAAGTGAATGCTGCAGCTGGTTTAACTGCTTCTAAAAAGTGATAAATCTTTTTCCTATGATTAAGACATGTTAGGCAAATGAAAAACAACTTTTTTTTTTGGATACCATCAATATGTATAAGCGCCCCGCCTTAGTTTTCATGTTTTTGTTCTAAAGGTTGTTTTGCTGTTTTTATTTTTTCCATTTATAAGTAAATATGACGATTGTTATTAGTTCTTCACAAGTAAATCTTATAAAAAATGTTCTATACAAATTTGACACTGGTTGTTTTGTACTCTCAGATTTTTGAGAGTTAATATAATTCACCCATAAATTTTAGATGGCTTGGAATCCCGCGCAAGGATTTTTTTCTGATCAAAATTCTCAGAATAATTATTATAATCCAGTTAATAATGATCAACAGCAATATTATCCACAAACGTTTGATCAATCCGGCCAATATTATCAACATTCAAACCAACAACAAACACAAGCACTTTATCCAACACATTTTATCCCACAACAACAATATCAGACTGTAGGTGGTAATTTTATGCCATCATCAAATCCAGTAGGATTTTATAAACCGAGCGATTATTTAAATCAAAATTCACAACAGAATGATCCAACAATTCCCGATGAGTTGATCGATGAGCCACCATTGTTGGAAGAATTAGGAATTAATTTTGATCACATATTTATGAAAACTAGATCAGTATTAAATCCATTTTCTAGACCAGATGCAGCAATTTTAGATGATATTGATTTAGCCGGTCCATTAGTATTTTGTTTAGCATTTGGTTTTAGTCTACTACTGTTGGGTACGTAACAGTCTTATTGCTAGTTGTTTGTGAAGAAGAATTGTTACCATTCAATGAAATATTTTTTGCTTAGCATCTCGTAGATAAAAGAATGAATAGTTGCAATCCATTCTCTTTTTGAAAGGAACAATAATATTTAATTGTGTTTTGGAATTTTTATTTAGGTAAAATACATTTTGGTTATGTCTACGGCATTGTTCTTATTGGATGTGTTGCCATGTATGGTTTATTAAATATGATGTCTGAAAAACCTTGTTCAGGAATTTATGTCACTAGTGTACTTGGCTATTGTCTACTGCCAATGGTTTTATTATCATTTTCATCATTTATATTCAAATTAAATGGTCCTATTGGACTTATTATCGCAGCATTTTTTATATTTTGGTGTTCAACATCAGCTTCTAAACTATTTTCTACTTCACTATCAATGATCGGACAACAAGTACTCGTTGCCTTTCCATGTTGTCTATTCTATGGCGTTTTTGCTTTATTAACCATTTTTTAACGTTAGTCTAATTAACGTTATTTTTAATTACCTATCTCATTTTTGTATTTCCTCATTCTTGTTTTGCAGTGAGAAAATAAAACGTATGTAATCACAAACATGAACAAATAGATCATCTTATTTAGAGACTAATTAAAGTACAAAAAAAGAAAGAAGCTAGTCTGTAGTTTCTTGATCAATTTTTTTACTATTAGTTCGTACTCTACACAATCTGAAATAAGTTAGTTTTCTGCTAACAGAAGACAAAATTAATTAATATGAAGCATTTGTAGGATGGGAACTTTGTATTAGGTTATGAGTAACCTAAGAAGATAATAAAATATTCTGAAACATTCTAAAATGATGACATATTCCGAAATATTTTAAGATGATGAAACATTGTATATGTATACGTCTGTTTTCAGTTGTATTTGAATTCACTTTTCTAGTTATAAAATAAACTGTTTATGGTACATATAAGAGAGTTCTAATCGAGATGAAATTAATCTAACACTTTAAAAAAAGCTTTACCGATTGATACCTAATAGGTTACTTCACTTCTGATTTTCCTATAAAGTATCAAACACAAAATGGACAGACATTATTTAGAAAAAAACATGTATATAAATAAATTAACAATTTAGCGAAACACATAAGAAAGCCGTATTACTTTTTTTTCTGGAACAAAAACAAAATAGCAAGACAAAAAACATCAAAATAATAAAATTTGAAATAACAACGTGTACTTGATAGTGATTTAGATTAAAATTAAAGAACTACCAACATCTTCATTTTCACTTGCATAGCTGTGCTTTTTTGGCATAACTTGGAGCAGAGAGACAAGCACCAAAGTAATTTCGAAAGACTTCTGACTGAAAATTTTCGTGATTTCAATGTTAACGAGAATTTTCATGAATAATTGTCAAAATATATCGGGACAATCTGACCATTGTCGTTGCCAATATCGATTATTAGAACACCAAACATCTTCGCCAGTTATCGAATGTTTTTCAGTACGAAACCACCTAGAAGATAAATAGATAATGAATCATAATTGTAGAGCAAATAAAACAAATTTCATTTTCTTACATTGGTGTCCAGTCATCTTTGCGCTTTTCACGTTCTAGTCTTGCTGCACGTTGTTTTTCTTCTAAACGATTTTTTTCTTGATTCGCCGTATCAATATCACCATCTTCCATTTTTCTCATATCTGGACGAAATCGACAATCTGTTGGAGGACACTGTCGTTTAACGTCATCAGTTAATTCATTCAATGCCATAGTAAATAGATTAAAGTTATAATACTAAAAGAAACGAAATAGTTAGGAATCGATCACATATAAGTTAAAATTGTTTTACTTGTGGAGAATAATCTAGTTTTGGAATGATTTTCCATAACTGGTATGAATTTGGAGGTAAATTGTGTTCGTTTGTGTTATCAGGTACGTCTTCATTGTCTAGATCTTCACTTTCATCGGCAACGAGTGATGCTGTTGCTGAGGATTTTGTTGATTGTTTAGGTTCTTTTTTCATTTGTTTAAGGAATGCTTCGAAATTGTCTATATCGATTGAAAAAAATGAATCTGTCCAGAAACCATATAGACCTCGAACTTTTTGTTTACTAAATTAAAATGAAAATAGAAGTCAGTAAGTGGCGGAAACGATGATTACTTACTTTGAATCATACACGTATCCTTCAACTTTATGCAACTCTCTAGTGGACCATGAATACGGTTTAAAATTGAGCACAGCCCTTAGTTTTCTTGTGTGATTCACTACTTCCATGGTGCCATGCTAAACAGAGAGAACATAGTACATGAGACGAACAAAAACTCGTTTAAACTAAAATAATTACACAGCCACCCTGATACTTGACTAACTGGATAGAAAATTCCGGCCAAAGAAATTCAGTTTTGTAGTTCTTATCTTTGGAAATGAGAAGGACGGAGTATACCAAGTGCTAACAAACTAATCTTTTAGTATTTCTGATGAACAGCATTCATTTAGTTACGTACATATTCAAACCACAATTTTCCAACAACGATGTTATGAATGGTACAGGTCAGACTTTCCCAAGTATAAATTTCATTGTGCCTAAAAGTAACAAACGTTAACTATATTTATAGATGGGTTTTGATATTGTTCTCTCGTACCTCTTTAATTCTAATGTCAATGTTCCTTTCGGTTCAACAATCATTTTTTTAACAGTAAATTTCACTTTTGGCAAAATACTTCCATAGAATTTCCACCGATTTTCTAATGACTCACATGTAAATGCTGATACTGGCTATTAGAAATAAATCAGAATTCATTATCAGATATTGAAATATAGTTTTATAAACTACTTACAGGATGATGACATACTTGTTCGCTCATGAATCGAAAACTCAGTTCTTCTCTAGAAGAAAAATCTAATTATAACGTGTGCTGTAACGTTTAGTCTATCAATTACCTGGAAAATTCATATGTTTCACCTAACAATGGGTTAAACGGTTTAGATAATCGATCAATATTACTGGCGATCGATGATACCGCAAAGGCTGCTACATACTGAATAAACGAAAATTGTAATGTGAAAATTTTACACATAATAGAACAAAATCTTACCTGCATCCTCATGATCGGGTCATCACATTGCTCTGCTTTATCAAGTAGGTAAGAATAGAGAACATTTTCTGTAAAACGTTGCAAGAATGATACTGGCTAAAACATAGAAAATAATCGTATCATCATGTTAGTGTACAAAAATAGAGTAGACAATATTTACTTCATTCCAAATTATTGGCATTGAAATTTTAGACAATTCTTTTCCGATACATTGTTTCAATATACTCCAGATGCTAATCTGTGAACGATCAAACATCTGAACTGGTAATTTTGTTCTAAAATAAAAATAAATATTTCTTTTTCAAAAAATAATTAATAATAATAATTGATTTCTACGAGATGAAATGCGATTGTTTGTAAAATGTGATAATTAGAATTGATTGTAAACAGAAAAAGTATTTTATTTCAAATCTTCACGAATGTTTCATTAACATCCATAATTTCTTGTGATACAAAATTCTGTTAGTTTATCAAAATGTGATGATGAAGAAGAAAAAATTATTGTAATTAAAAAGAACAACAATTAAACACTAATATCTCACAAAGAAAGAGTAAATGAAATATAAATTTGTAAAGAAGAAACAGTGAGACTTTGTATATTCTTGTCCGGTACTTGTTAATAATATTCTTCCTTATTCACTATTTTTCTTTTGACTATGAATCAGTATTTATTTCAAAAATGAACTTACTACATCTTACATTTGTATTTCGTTTTCTCATTGATAGAAACAAAAGTTTTTGTAATTTCTATCAGCATATAGTAAAATCAAGTAGCTGATTATTTTGTTTATTGTCTTAAAATGATATTTAATAACAGTTATTTGAGAAAAACCTTATGTCTTTTTTTTTTCAATTTTAAAATTTATATAAAGTTGTTCATATTTGAAAATATGATACCTATGGAATAATAATGTAAAACCTGTATATCAGAAAAATATTAGAGTTTGTAGGTTTACTATGTACTGACATTGAATATTGATATAAAAAAATATTTTGATAACTCGAATTTGTTTTTTCATACTTAATGATTGAAATGTGTTTTTTATCTCTATAACAGGATGTCAAAAAGGTATTATCAAAATAAAGACAAAGAAGGTAGAATAAATTATGTATATATGATGTTTTATGAAGATTTGAACCACAACGGAAATAATTCAAAAATATATTTAACACAATGAGAGGAAAAAGAATGAATGAAAAATAGTCGTATAAATAGATTTAAAATGTTTCAAATCTTCTCCAAAATGAACGTTAAATCAAAGAAACCTTGTGGTAATGCGATATAGAAAAGAAAAAAATTGCCTGAGTGATATTGAATTATTTGAATTTTAGTTATTCTTCAAAAATCTCAATGTATATTTTGATTTTTGAATCTTTTTCTGCTTCGCTTTTTCTCATTTTTTTTTTGCTTCTAAGATTTTCCGGTTTTCTGATTTTGAACTTTTATCTTCTAATTTTCATGCCTTGTATCGGATAATCTTGATTATTCTAGTCATACGTACCGATTTATTTTAAGTATTTTATTCATAAATAGTTAAGCACTCGAGATTTTATTACTTCTGGTTTTTTTATGTTTAGTCTACGACAAAGTTTATGTCGTATAATAAAAGTCTTTTTCTTTATGCTACAAAACTATAGTAGATTGAACTAGATGCTATAAGAATATATAGGAAACGAAACATTTGATTCTCTTCGGCATTATAATTATTTTCATCAAAGAACAAAAGAAGAAAAGTGTGAGATCCAGCGACGTGTATTTTTACTAATTTTTTTTATTTTTTTTTTTTGTTTTTGTATATAAAAAAAGTCAAGAAAATCAAAGCTACATGGTCTAGTAAGACATGAGAAGAAAAAGAGAAAATTTAATAAGATATAGTATATATATATATATATATATATATAATCAGGCATTACTTGTTCAAAAAGAAAAATTAATACTTTATTTTTTTCTGTTGACTTATAATAGAAATATTATACGAGTCTATAAAATTTTCAAAAAAAGAAAAAAATAGTCAGTTAGGTCATAGAGAAAAAATAGAGGACGTGCTAAATTTTTCTAAAATCTTACCTTCCAAAATTTCGACGTGTTAAACCGATCCATTCTTTTGTTAGCTCGTTTTGAATATTTGAACTTTGTATTGGATCATAAGAGTCTATGACTTTCAAAAATGAAAATGAAAATATACATTTCAAAAAATATTATTTTAATTATTACCATCATCTACATCAAAAAATTCATCATCTTCGCCATTTAAATCATCACTCATTATTTTAGTTTGTAACGAATTTTGATGAGTGAATGATGACTTATCATTACAAATAAACAAATCTAAAGAACAAAAGAAAAACAAGAGACTCAACGATGTTTCCGCTATTGTTCTTTTAACAATTTATTCAACAACAACACGTGGTGAAAAGAAAAGATTATTAGAATCAATTATTTCTTAATCCTCATGAATTTTTATACGTAACGTGTTATCAAAATTTCTTAATAACACTAAAATTTGAAAGATAATCTTTAAATGCAACGTACTATGATCTATTTCAAAATATTGTGATCGTAGAATTTTTTTTAAAATTGTAGAATAATTTTTGATGAGTAGTAACCTTTTACGCTTAGAACATCAATAATTTCATGAAAAATAACTGTGTCATAGTTTTCTACAAAACTTTTAAAGATTCAATGATGAAAACAGATAAAAATGGTCTAAAATCATTTATTTGTCCCAAAAAACAAGTTCTCTCACTTTTATTTGAGAACAAATATTGTCACGAGAATGATTTATAATATGAGATTGATCCGAGGAGTATACATTCGATCTAATGACTCTCAAGAATAACGATAGATGAAGAGTGCAGATTTATCTGAAAGTTTGGAGAATAGTCTGCGGATTTAAACCTATCCACTGGAATTAAAAATCTATTAATAAGAATGTGTTTTTTGAATAGAACAATCCACAGTTACTATATTTAGAAATAGATCGTAGGACAAACGTAACTGTTCTCAAATTGGGTGGAAAAAAATAAACGATTGTTTTATATCGATTAGAAAATTTTAATTTCAATTTGAAAATAAAACTTAATGATGATCATTAATAATATTTGTCGGGAATAAAATTACTTGTTATATTCTACTTTGATATGCGTAGAGAGAAGAAAACCTTGATTCATTAGAGCGTAAATACGACCATAAATGATAAATAAACTATACATATTTTTCATCGATAATCAAGTTAGAATTAAGTAAATTTTCATCGTTTAATTGCTTTGCTTAATTCAACTCATTTATCCTCATAAATTTCAGTAAACAGATAATATTAACAATTTCTCAAACTGAAATTCTTAAATTATGTTGACTCTATTTGTACCTTAATCGTGACATTTTTAAAAATAAGTCATCAGAGTATTGACGATATATAAAGATTTCCCATACTACTCACTCGTTTTCAAGGTTCATTAGAAAATATATCGAAATTTACTTTTATTTTTTTATCGATTAACCTTCGTCACTTGTTTCTACAATTAATTTAAAAGAACGCATATCTATTTTGTTTTCTTTCTTTCTTTTCCCAAAAAAGTATGATTATTATTTTCGTTTAAAAACTTGAAAATGTCATCGTTTCTAATCTTTTCCATAGTCTAATTATAAAAGATGCGTATTATATTATAAAAATATGATGTATTGTGAATATAAAAGCAAAAAAACTTTTTGTTCTGTTTTCTTTTTCTTTTCATCTCTTGTCGGCATATAGTAATAAAATCGCTAACATTGCTGAGTATAGATTTTCTCTTCTTGTTTTTTTTCTTTTACGACAAAATGATGTAATAAGTACATAAAAATAGTTTTTTGAAGAAAAATAAATATATTCCAAAATGAGACAATTCTCATATACCTCTATGCAATTCAATCGATTAGTTCGTTCTTTTGTTCTGTAGTTATCGAAAACACAGACGCTAATTCAAAGGGTTCTTCTATATTGCTTTTTCCTTGTTCTGCAGCGATTTTCTTTTTTTTATTCGACGAACATATGTAGATGCTATTGTACAGAAGAGGGATAATTATGTATAAAAAAACACAAATTTCAATGATTTTGTATAAAAAAATGGGATAAAATGAATAATAATTGTTTATCATGAAAGAAACGGTTGACGATTGAGAAATTGAAATTCGCTTGTTTTACTTGGTTTTAGTCATCGATCATCTATACTAAACAAATTAAAAATCGATGTTCATTTGGCTAAACGATAATCTTTTCACTTTCAAAACACTTGATATCGAATATCGAGTTTTAATTTTTTGAAAAAATTATTCTTGGGTTCAAAACGGAAACTTCTTAAAAGTATTTCTTTCTTCAACAGTTAAAAATTATAGACAAATTGTGAAACTCTATCTACTTTTACGTAATAAGGCAGTTGAGGCTCAAAACCATTTGATTTTGTCCGATTTTTTACTTATGCCCTCGTGCTTAAAGCTTATGCACAACTGTGGAAATAAATATGAGTTGTTAATAAACCCTTACAACTGTGAACCTGCTATGTATATCAAAAAGAAAAAGAATCTCTATTCTGTGTGAGAGACAATGAAAACAAAAAAATGATCAATAAATACACAAAGAAAGAGGGCAATAAATACTGAGCAATACTAGAGTTCGATGAAATATTATAAGATGACTCATATGAACTGAAATCGTCATACTTCGCTTATGTATCTAACAAACAGCTGTACAAATATTTGCTTATACTCATTTTTCAGACATATTTAAATTCATATGTATCGTTGGCGTGACCTAATTCAGGCTAATTTAAAACTAAATTAGGCGTATCTTCACACGTACCGCTTTGTTACTCTCAAAGTAAGACGACATTTGTATGAGCGCGTTTTGGCCGCGATATAGAGCGAGAACACCCTATTTGTCTTCGTTATACCGCGATCGCTATCGATCTGATCGATCCAACGATCAGGTCAGATTCAGGTTAATACAAAAAATATTGATTCGGATATTTTGGGGTTTAAGTCGGGTCATATTACTAGAAACACGCGAGCAGATTTTTGTTGAACATATTTTAGTCATTTATTTTCGAACACATCATATCTGTATCTATCGAAAAAGACGCTTTGACTTTCTTTATCTTTCTGTGCAATGTGCGTTTCAGACACACTTGGACAAAATGCCTCATAAAACAGTTTTCAGTTTTGGATCAACGATCTGGGTCACTGATTCATGACCCAATTCGATCTCTATTTATTTTCACTTCTCGTTGTATCTGTGTATAAGTTGAATAAATGGAGGAATGTTATAATCCTGATACGAGTCGAATTCTCAATTTAACAACAAGTCGTAATCTAATTTCGTGTGCGACATTAACTACCATACACCCAGTCCGCCTACTCATTCTGTATTCTACTGTCATCCTATGTACTAAAAATCAGCAATTAATCGTGAAAAATCATACGATTAATCGGCGATTTGTTTTCTAGGTACTAGGTTCGAACCCATCTTAGGAAATACATATTTTTTTCTGTGTTTTCATTGTTTATTATGTATAGTGATGTGTACGTGGCTCAGGAACGGTCTTAGCGCCAGCTCAAGTCGGAGCCTTGCCGACGAGTCGATTTTAGACATTTCCCAGACACTAGCTCTTCACTCGACTCAAGGCTCTAAGGGATCATAGAGAAGACTCTTGACAACTCCGTTTTATTCTAAAATAAAAAGATGATCTAAATAGAATTGAATTTCTCGTTGAAATCGTGTTTCTTATATACATACTTTACGGCAAAATAAAACGGTGAATAACAATAACCATATAATCGCTTAAAACCAACAATTAATAGCAATTAATTAATGATTTTTAAAAAAAAAGAGAAACCATCGGAATCGTCAGATTTTTTTCAAAATCGCGATTAATTGTTAAAAATACCACGATTTCGCCGACATGGGATCACATATATTGTGATAAAATTATGTTCAGTCCAATTCAAAAAATTTAATTTATTAGAAAAACTTATTTAGAAGTTCAGCTGGCAGTAATGGCTGCTAAAAGATGGAGAAACATTCGATAAATAAACATCTGAAACTATTTACTAGCTATTAAGACGTTAAAAGAAGAGTTATAAGACATTTAATAAAGTTAAAAACTTTTTCTAAAATCTCAAGAAGGCTTCAGAGATGATAAATATCAGTTTTGTAAAAACAAATTGTCCCTTGTTACTTCACAAATTTGAATTTTTTCCAAAAATATTCTTACTTGTTAAAATGATCGCTTAAAAGTACAGACAGATTGGAGTACAAGAACACGGTTTATTGATAATGAGTTTATCATAACAAAATTCAAAATGTTAACATATAACAAAAATTCTCGTTCATTTTGAGAAACTAGCGATTATAGTAAAAGTGCCATGAGAATTTTCACTATGCCTTTAATAGTGGAATTATTTGCTCCTTGATCTTTGGTGATATTATAAAACATATCCTCTACATTATCACTGATGGAAACATATTTGTCTATATCTTCCTTGACCTCGTCCAAATTTAAATCGTTTTTGACCCATTTTAGAATATCATTTCAGTGGTTATCCAAAGTATCTTTCATGATATTGGTGGCCAGTTTAATCCCACTACGATTTTCAATATGTTTAACAGAGACAAGATTGTATGTAACACTCATTAATAGGAAACTTTTTCTTTTGGTTTGGGTACGAGGAGGGGGACACACGTAGCATTCACTTTTCTTATAGAACTCATCGACTGCCTGCAGTAGTCTATCGATTTCTGGAAAGAGCTCCATGAAATCTGAATCCGACACTTGTTTGCAGTGCATTTAAATCGAATCTCTTATCTCCTTTACATCAACTTGAATTATTTCATTATTTGCAATACCTTCAACAGAAACATGACTGTTTACGCTTCAATAACGCAACAAAGTTTTTACCATCATACTGTGATTGTTGTTGGTTGAAGGGAGGAGAAACATGAAGAACTTTATAATTCTCTGCTCCGACGCTGTTGCTAACAGAATAAAACTTCAACACTGTTACTTATTTCATAATACTTACCAATTACTTTCAAGGCTATATATGTGGGTCTATAGATGTGTTGGCTTGCCTGATGAATGAATGAACGAGAAGTAAATGTACTTCTGGTCACTGAAAATAGATACTTTTGATTACCAATATTTTCAGCATTCATGTCACATTTTTATTTGTTCTTTTATTTTATTTCTCTTTCTAATGGCAAAAATCGCGTACATGTGGCTGTCGTTTTTCTCTTACGGCAGCAATCTGTTACTTGTTACATTTGGTAATAACTCATTCTACACTTTGTTTCTATCTTTTTTTTATGCATAGTGCTTTATGATTTTATTTAATTTTCGAAAAAATGGTTTATTTTAATTAAAAATCGTTTTGACGCTGCATTAATAATTTTCATGATATGATGCCAACTGTGAAGGCAGTTCGAAGAATTTTGCCTAGCTTTCGTTGAATAATACACGCAACAGAAGAAAAATATTGTTGTCGTATGCTAGGCCGAAAATTCCGAAGACAAGTTCCTGAAAGATCCGACGTCGAAACATGCCGGAACCCGACAAAATATGGTACAATTCTACCGGAATCATGCCGTATTATGTCTGAATCCTGACGCCCGTATCACGTGCTGGAAGATGTCGATAACGATCCGACCGGATCCTTTGAGTTTCAGACATCGAATTGATCACTCAAACTGTTAAGAATTTGAGAAGAAAATTTTCCTGATTTTCATTTTCTGCAATGTCATATTTAAAGCACTGCTGTCGCGAAACAAAACGATGAATAAATTATGCACAAAGATATGCCTTTCAGATAGAGTGGGAGCCACTTTTATAAAAAAAACTTAAGTTTGACTGAAGTCGTTGATTTAAGTGAAAAACTAAGTTGACGTTAAGTCACACTTAACTAAAACTTTTCCGTAACTGCGTTTTATAAAGCGTAACTTAAGTGTGACTTAGCACTTAAGTTAAAAAATTGACTTAAGTGTATTTAGTGCTAGGTAAATGCGTCACCGTGATAGATTTAACCAGTACAGA